ACCCTCCCTCCCTCCACCCTCCCTCCCTCCTCCTCCTCCTCCTCCTCCTCCTCCTCCTCCTCCTCCTCCGCCGCCGCCGCCGCCTGCGGGGCTGAGAAGGCAGCAGCAAGGACCCCCACTGGTCCTGTTACCAGTCTGGGCTCCTTGAAGACCTGGCTGTCGATCATGTCCCAGCCCCCTGGCCCAGCGCCAGCAGCCGAAGCAGCAGCAGCAGGTCAGGGCTGTCCTGCAGGGACACGGGCCTCAGCAAGCGCTCACCTGAGCCTCCCTCACCCGGGACTTCTGCCCTCTCACAGGCTCCACCTGCCCTCTGCTGGTCAGACGTGTGCTCACCCAGGCCAGCACAGACCTGGATGCCTGGGGTTCGCACCCACATCCACCAGAGCTGGCCTACAGCCAGCGGGGCACTCACCCTGGGCAGCGTCTCCTGGCCGACCAGCTCCTGCAGGTGCCTGACGGTGCTCAGGGACAAGGTGTTGATGGCAAAGGGGTCACACAGGATCATGGACAGGTCCCTGTGAGGATGAACCCGGCGTGAGCAAGGGGAGCCCCGACCCAGGGAGACGGCCCTCCCACACAGACTAAGCCACCCGACCCCGGGCTGCTTTCAAACGGCTCGCAGCCCTCAGCTGACTCGGGAAGCTGGAAGTCAGACGTGCTTTTAAACCCTGAGGTCCCGTTTTGTCTGGGGGACGTGACCTGGCTCCACAGACTCAACCAGGTGCCCACGTGGACGACTCCAGGGAGAAGCAGTCGGAGACGGGCCAAGCAGAGCCCACTCGGGGAGGGCCATCTGGGAGCCGGGCCCCCGGAGCATCCGCCCCTCAGCCCGCAGGCAGCCCCACATCACTGCAGACACCGGAGCCCCAGCCCAGGCACTCAGCTTGCCCGAGATCGCAACAGCCTTGTCCCCAGCAGCCACGTCTCTCAGGCGGTTTTCCCAAAGACATGCCAGAAGACACAGCCCACTCCCGACTGCAGACACAGCATTCTCGACCGGAAGACTGTGGACAGGACCCTGGGGGGCTGGGGCACCACACCAAGCCAACCCTCACCCCAGGACTTGCTCCTGTCCCTTCTTCACCCCGTCCAGAAACCCCTGCAGCTCTCGGGCCCTCTTGCTGTCCACGAACCGCTCTCGGATGCAAGCGTCCAGGCACCAGGTGAACTGTGGGGAGAAAGCGCAGTCAGGACTTACCAGAGACCGTGGCCTCCAGGCAGCACTCACCCTCACCTCCTTGCCCAGGTGCCGCCGCTGCCTGAGCCTTGAGGAAGCCTCAGGACCCACCCCTTCACGTGGCCCAGGCCTGGCCAGGTACCAGGACCTGCACCAGGAAAGGACGGCACAGAGGAAACTAGCCCAGGGCCTGAATCCCCACAGGTCAGGCGGTGCAAGAAAGAAGCAAGATACACGTTTTGTTCTAAAAAGGGCCTCTCCCGGGACCCCACTGTGGGGAAGGGCAGTGCGGTCTCAGAGTGACACCACCTCTGGCCCCACTGCGTCCATGTTGGGACAAGGGCAGTGCAGAAAGCCCTGTTCCTGGAACATGGAGCTCGCTGGTGAGCAGCCCCGGGGGGCCCTGGGGCAGGGGAAGGCCAGAGGCCCCGGAAAGACCACAGGAGGCAGAGCAAGGGTCCAGGAGCGGCCGCAGAGCCTGCCCTGGCTGGAGTGGAGGCAGAGGGGGAGCAGGCGAGGGAGGGAGACATAGGGCAGCTGGCTCTGGGTCAGGCGCTCAGAGGACACCGCAGGTGGGCAGAGGCAGTGGAGGGGTCGGTGCAGGCAGATGGCCAGGAGGGCAGCGGTGAGAGCCCAGGGGCTAGGACCGTAGTGTCCGAGGGAGAGGGGCAGGCAGGCCCCCACCTTGTGGCAGGGGTCCACGGAGCAGATGTCGCCGACATCCAGGTCGTGCAGGGACATGAGCAGCTCGGCCCGCAGGGTGCAGTAGTGCACATTGCGCGTGCGCAGGAAGAGGGTGCGCAGGAACTGCAGCACCATGTCGTACAGCTTCACGTTCTTGCCCACCATCTGCGTCAGCTTCTGCACCACCTGTGCGGAGACAGCCCCGCCCCCTCGTCCCACTACACGTCTGGTGCTGGGGCTCCCCTCTGGCAGGACACCGGCCCATGGGGGTGGGGCGTCCCTGGTCTTCATGGAGGTGAGCTCCACAGCAGGCCCCCAGATCCCCAGCATAGCTGCCCAGAGGGCCAACCCCACCACGAGGTCGACGATGGGGAAATTCGGTCAACGAGCATGTGCGGTGCCACCAGGTGAGGCCCAGCTGTGGCCACCCACGCCTGCCTCCTCTCAGGCCCCCGTCCCGCCTCCAGCACCACACCCCGCCCGTCTTGGGTAGCTCCTGCCATGCTGCAGCCGCCCACAGGAGGGGCTCCCCTCAGGGCTCAGCAGCCATGCAGATGCACAGGGTGAGACACTAAGGAGGCCCAATGGGCTGGACATAAGGAGGGGAGCAGTCAGCAGCCCACCTGGAGGACCCCTGCTGAGGACCCACCAGCAGGCCTCAGGAACCCCGACGAGCAGAGCAGCTCAGAGCATGACCCGAGTCCAGGCACCAAGTCCCAGCACCTCTAACACCGACGACAGGAATGCACCAGCCTGACCCGCCGGGCTCGCCTCACCCAACAGGAGGGTGCGAAGCTCAGGCAGAGGACCAGGGCCCCGCAGCCGACCCACCCCTGCCACTGCTCCCTCCCAACCCCTACCGAAGGAAGGACCCAGCCCCCAAGAGGGACCTTGGCCTGGAGGGGAGAGTGAAGCAGGGGCAGGGCCACATCCCACAACCCTGAGACAAGGGGAAGGCAAGCAGGACAGGGCTCAGACACACTCAGCGGCCTGATCAGGAATTGGTGCTGCAACCACTGGCCCAACACCTGAGAAGACCCTGGGTCAGAGCCCACCTCGCACCACCCACACAGGAGACCCTGGGTGGGAAGGCTGACTGTGAGAGGCCACAGCAGAACAGCAAATGCTGCTCGGCCCACGTCTGGACGCTTGCCGTTGCCTCCTCCTGGGTTGAGGGGCATCCTGGAACCAAGCCAGGGACCCCCACCTCACCAGGAAAAGTCACAGTGTCCACAGTGGCCTCCAGACCTCCACCTCCCCCGGCCCCCTCCCCAGACACCCTCACCTGCCCACCTCAGCGCCTCTGCTCACAACACCCCCCCCAACCCGGCCCTTCTTCCTCAAACCCCAAGACACCACCCCTACCTGGCCCACCCTGCTCCACCGCTGGAGCTCCGAGACCCACACGTGACACCAGACTGCAAGCACCTGGGCAGGCGCCCTGACCTGGGGTTACTGAAGGGTCCAGACACCTGCGGCAGTGGGTCAGCGCTCAAGAGACGTGTTGAAGAAGGAATAACTCAAACGCAAGAACAGACAATTCCAGAGACCTTAACCAAAAAGGCCTGCTGGGCGGTGGAGTGCGGAAGTACATAAGGATACCAAGACTTGCAGGGTAGTGAGCGGGGCTCCACAAGCCCACCCCCAACACACAGTGCCCGGGGACCTCACCTCGCCCTGGCGCCTGGTCTTGGGGGAAGGACTGAAGAAGTTGTGCAGAACAGAGAGCTCCGTGCTGAAGAGAGCGCTCTCCTTCTCCACGATGTACTGCTTCAGCAGCGGAGAGACCTCGTCACCGAAGAGTGCCTGGTTGTCTTGCCAGATCTGCCGCTTCACCTCCACAGCACAGGCCCGGTACAGCTCTTTGTCTGCCATCACCAGCTTCAACTTCTTCTCAGGAACCTACATGACCCCACAGGCCACCTGTGAGCAGTGCCTGCCACCAGGGGCCCCTCAAGACGAGTCAAAAGCCCTCAGCGCCCCACAGCAGAGACCTCATTCAGCCCAGCCCCACCAACAGGGGCACCTGTGGCTGGCCCCTCAGGCCCCAGCAGGTACAGCAGCCACGCTGACCACACAGCTTTTTCCCAGAAAGGACTCCACGTGCCAAGCTCCAGGCTCTGCGAGGCTCCTCCAGGGGAAGTGAGCACAGAGAACACGCTCTGAGGCTATCCCTCCTCGGGCGGCCAGCTCAGAGAACCTCCCCGTCCCAAGGAGACACCCAGCTAAGCGTGTGCTTGACCTCCACCAAGCAAGCGCCATGCAGGGAGGCCCCGGGTTGGGAGGGCCTTTACCTTAGGCAAGTGTTTCATGACGCACATCACCACTGGCTGCAGGGATGGCATCTTCACCAAAGAAAAGCTCTTCTCCAGAAGGTCTTCCAGTTTCTTGTACCTAGAAAGACTCACACTCCTGAGGGACTAGCACGGGACCAAGTCATCGCAGCTGCCTGCCTGTCCCCAGACAGATGACGTCCTCAGGAGGAACAATTAGGGGAGAGGCTCTTCTTGAGTAGGGTATGTGTAGCCACGGGGACAGTGAGTCCTGCTGATGTGGACCCCAAGCTGGTAAGGGGCTGCACATCTTACCTGCCCACTTACCTTTCTTCAGCCTTCCCCTCTGAAGCAATGGCTGACACCCGCTCCAGCAGCTTGTCCCGCAGCTCGTCAAACACAGACTGGTGGAACTCCAGCCGGGGCGTCCCGTGCAGGTCCAAGAAGGGCAAGGCGGACTGCAGGGAGGGCAACAGCACGCCATTCTCTGTCTGAGGAAGCAAAGGGTCAATGTGAGGTCGACTTGGCCTCCTCCCGCGACAAGAGAAACCTCGGCGGCAGCCACGTCTGCCCAAGCACCTGGATGCCCTGAGTACACAAGGAGGCAGGTGCAAGGAACGTCCCCGCTGTTCCCAGCAGCGCTGGTTGTAACTGCAAAAAACTGGAAACCACTCAGATGCCCGTCGACGGGGTCCTAGCTCAGGACACCTGGTTCCTCCATCCCGGGGAACAGACGCGCTACCAGGACGGCGAGAAATCTGCCCATTTCTCACGACCCCGCCCCGCGCCGGACTCACGCCAAGACGGCCGGCCCCTCCACCCGGCTCCACCTGGAACTGCTCGATGGCCTTGAGCGGCTCCGTGC